TATTCTTGACCAGCGAGGCTTACAGAGACCAGCTCACACCTTAGTATTGTTGACCAGCGGAGGCTTACAGAGACCAGCTCACACCTAGTATTGTTGACCAGAGGCTTACAGAGACCAGCTCACACCCTAGTATTGTTGACCAGCGAGGCTTACAGAGACCAGCTCACACCTAGTATTCTTGACCAGCAAGGCTTACAGAGACCAGCTCACACCCCAGTATTGTTGACCAGCGAGGCTTACAGAAACCAGCTCACACCCTAGTATTGTTGACCAGCGAGGCTTACAGAGACCAGCTCACATCCCAGTATTGTTGACCAGCGAGGCTTACAGAGACCAGTTCACACCCTAGTATTGTTGACCAGCGAGCTTACAGAGACCAGCTCACATCCTAGTATTGTTGACCGGCGAGGCTTATCAGAGTTGACCAGCTCACACCCAGGAGATATCGTTTTGACAGATTTTGTACAATGCCCTGACAGTGGTATGGCGTCATGAACTTGATGGCGTCACAATGCTATGACATGCTGCAAGTCTAATGGTAGTACAGTGTTGAGAGATGTACATTTTTCATTGAAAACTAATGAAGAATGATTTTGATGATACATAGAATCTCACCTTAGGTGTCTACTGATATCAATTATATCAACACTCATTGATAAAGGTAAAAATATCCTCGGCAAGCCTCAGATATTTGTAACTTTATCAACTTTCGTGTTGATATATACTGAGTCAAAAAGAAACTTCACATTCTTTCTTCAGGGCACTATAAAGAACAAGAGATGGTAAGATGGTTAAATTGTTATTATTTCATTGCTGAGATCTGTGTGATGTACTTTCGATACACTGACAGTGCCATAATCAGTTCCATTAGGCTACACCGCCGTTCAAAACATGGGTATACAGAATGTCAAGTCACAAGAATAAAAATCACGAAATTTCTCAGTTCAATATCGTGTATGGCCAGCCCATACATTCACCACTGCCAAACACCGTCTCCTCATCGACTGCCTGATGCTTGTGAACCGTGGTTGGGGATTCTGTGCCATTGCTCTTGCAAGGCAGCGCCAAGTTCCTGCAAATTCTGAGGTTGGTTCCTAAGACCACGAAGCCTTCTCTCAAGTGCATCCCAAAGCGTGCTCTATTGGATTAAGGTCAGGGGAACCTCGATGGCCAGTCCATGGCGTTGATTCCAGCGTTTTGAAGGAAATTTTGTGTCAACATTGCGGTATCGCGGCCGAGCATTATCATGCTGGAACTGTAGACCTGGGCCATGAGCTGCCATGAAAGGAGCGAGTTCAGGGGTGAGCACCTGGTTCGCGGTAAGCAGCAGCTGTGAGGTTTCCACAGATGACCAGAAGTCGGGCGGTTGTTCCCACAGAAAGCACCCACACCATGCAACTTCCGCCCCGAATCTGTCGACTTCCTGTACACAACATTGGGCATACCGTTCCGCGGCGTCGTCTCCAGACTCTATGCCTGCCGTCCAGCGAATCTGAGGGTAAACCTGGATTCATACGCTAAAGGCGACTTCGATTCCAGTCTCTCTGGGTCCATCGGAGGTGGCGTTGGGCCCACAGCAGGCGTTGGCGTTGATGAAACTTCGTCAATATTGGCCCGCGATATGGGCGTCGAGAATGGAGATTTGCAGCCATAACCCGATTTGAATGGTCTGTGAGGGTGGACCTCTAAACATCTCAGTGGTTAGCCTCTAAACTGTCACGTATCTTCTGCTCGTGGCGTCCCTGACCAGACCTTAGGCGATCAGAAGTGGTGCCAGTTTGTTGTATCACGACCTGCGCCAAGTCATACACAGTATGGCGGCTGCATCCATTGCTCTTGCGGCGTCAATAACTGATCTTCCGCTTGCAACATGCCAGCGGCACGTTCCGTTGCACATTTGACAATGCGTGGCATTTCAAGTACCCGTTAGAACTGTGGTTTAAAAGTGTTTTTCAATTCTTGAGGTCAATGCAAACCGTGCATATGAAGAAAACCCGATCGCGAAGATCCGTGATCGACTGCTGCATGCAAAACCTGATTTGGCACTAGCGTCATTTGCCACGACGAATGGATGGGTTTGAGAGTGGGTTTTGCTAGCGTTTTTCTAGAGTCGAAAGATAGGGATCCCATTTAGGATACATAGATGTATCATCAGAGAAAAATTATTCATTATTTTCAAATTACATTTTGTGAAGTCTCTTTTTGACTCGAGTATAATTGATATCAGTAGACACTTGGGTGACATTCTCTATGTCTCCGACTTAGTTATAATACACTTTTAAATCATGCAAGATTATGGCCTGATGAAAATGTTCCATCATATTAGCAGCTTAATGATGAAACCTTTGTCATGCCGACAATATCTTATTCTCATCTGTTTTTGTGATCTTTTGCTTAGTTTCTACATTCAATTTTCGGGCTAGTGAATTATTTTGTGGGCTAGTAGCTTTCAGGCATAGCTAGCCCAACTTGCCAGCAATATTTGGAAACTATTTCGAACACTGGGTCAATGAGACATACTTCGACACCACTGTTGTTGGCATACATGGTCAGTGAGACATACTTCGGCACCGCTGTTGCAGAAGCTGACGATCTGGCGTCACTCATCAATGAGCAGCGGAGTCTCAACGGCCTGAGTCACTGGATGTGTCTGCGCGTACTTCAAGCAGCTGCTGCGGGTGCTGGTGTATCTGGAGGTAGTAATGTGCTTCCGCGAGGACCTCAAAGGTGAGATAGCTGCTCTAAAACGCTTTCGTTAATGTGCTCTGTTTACTCCTGTTCAGACTATTGTCCGTAGGTCACAGCTTCTGACTGACTGACTGAATTGTTTATCACCAAAGTAACTGTACTTCTTGCTTTCAGCGGGCAGTGGGGTAGCCTAGTGGTTAAAGCGTTGGCTCATAGCGGCTGAAGACCGGGTTTGATTCCCCATATGGGTACAATGTGTGAAGCCCATTTCTGGTGTTCCCGCCTGATATTGCTGGAATATTGCTAAAAGCGGCATAAAACTCACTCACTCACTCTTGCTTTTGAGGGGTAAATGTTGAACCCGCCGTATGATTGATGTTCTGTTCAAGGAAGCATTAAGTATACACACAGAAATTCATGTGTGATATTTTCAATATTTTGAACTTTTCTGCAAGATTTTCCAGCTGTATCATTAATGAGTGAGATGACCTCAGGTCAGATTATGACAGGAGTTTCCTGATTGTAATTCATTGATACATTGGTCATGCTTCTGTCTAATTCACTTGCGTCTGTGTCAAAACTTTATGGTTTTAGAGTGTTAATAAATGTTCTGAGGTCTTATCTAGTTTATATAGCATTGTCACACTGATATTTTACAGTTATGGATGTTAATGTTTGTGTGAAGGATCACGACAGGTCTGGGCAGTAAGCGAAAGGCCAGATGACATGACATATGACCTTTAAATCCGTGAAGATTGGCGTAAGAGGTGACTAATGGGATTTGGGTGGTCAGGCTCGCTGACTTGGTTGACACATGTCATTGTATCCCAATTCATAGATTGATGTGTATTGTCTGGTCCAGATTGGATTATTTACAGATTGCAGCACAGGGGTGGAAATAACTGTAAAATTGCTAGTGTACTCCGGTACAGTGGCACATGTAAAATCACTTGCCCTGATAATTCTTCCACTATACCGTTTGATTTTCTTGTTGAGTTTTTAAATAAACAACATAATTAACATTGGAAAGTCAACTGGACACCGGTACAGCGTGACATACAAATTTACTAGCCCGACAGAAAAAAACAATAGAACGCCAGTGAGCAAGTGAATGCTGGCTTCTTGTCATACTCATCACTACCACACCAATCTCTTAGTGCATGAAACCGCCTCCAGCGGTGTAATTAGTTAAAGTGTCGCCCGGAGGCGGAAGGTCAGTGGAGTTCGATCCTGACAGCGTCATACCAAAAGACGTTAAAATATGGTACTTGTTGGTCCCTGCCTGGCGTTCGGCATTAATGGGTACAACAAGGACTGGTCGGCTCGGAGTCAGTATAATGTGTCTGAGTGCTTCACTGCGGCATGGTATCTCAGTGGGCTAGCACTATAAAACCAGCTTCAGTCTGGGCTAATACATGCAGCCACACATACACATACACATGCATGCACGTCGTCATATGAGCAAAATATTCTCAAGCACGACGATAAACCCAATTTCACCTCATCTCATATTGCATCATGGCATTCAACAGCGGACAACATACTTGTGAAGCGAAACACGACCCTGATAGCTGTCACCGACTTCGGACTGGGGAAGTACCTCAACGTTGACAGTGAGATGAAGGGGATGAGTCCCACAGGGAGCCAGACGCAGTGGAGCCCCGAGAAGGCCACCAGCATCGGCCACGGCTTTGCTGCGGACGTGTGGGCCGCCGTCTGCATCCTCGTCCACATGCTGAGTGGCCACCCTCCATGGACACAGAGGTTTCCTGGAGCTCAGATGCTGCATTTTGTGGTATGTTTATAGTTGGCCTTACTTGGTCATCAGCCTCAAACTATTTAGTTTATACTGTATTATTTTAACTTTCAGTCTATCAATTTTTGTATCAAGGCAAGCAACAGAACTCTAGATCTGTTCAGCTGTCATGTTTGAGTCATGAGTGGTGTGAAATGTGACATCTTCTGACATACTATTGAATGATGTTGAGGGTCAAGGTCGCTTAGTAGGACCTAGGAGTAACATATTTTTTGTGCACCATAGCTGGAGTATTTATGAGTGAAATCATCTAGATGATCTCTGAGTGACCAAGTCAGTTCCTATCCCTAGTCATGATGATGTCAAATGTCAAGGTCAATATAAAGGTTATTCACTCTCAAAATGACTTAATACTTAGCAACCCGTGACGGGTTAGAATGAGCCTTCAGTAACCCATGCTTGTCGTAAGAGGCGACTCACGGGATCGGGTGGTCAGACTCGCTGACTGGGTTGACCATGTCATCGGTTCCCAATTGCGTAGATAGATGGTCATGCTGTTGATGACTGGATTGTCTGGTCCAGACTCGATTATTTACAGACCGCCACCATATAGCTGGAATATTGCTGAGTGCGGTGTAAAACTAAACTCACTCACTCACTCACTAATAGCTAGCAACAAGTAATATTCTTAGATATGATTAGATGATATTGAAGGTCAAGAACCGCAAGAATGTCATTATCATAAGCATTATTTTCATTATTAGAATTAAAATAACTTTATGTGCACGATCTCTGGGCTGTCCTCTTTACTATGTCAGTGTGGACAACACACTCAAAATGAATACCTGTTGAATATTTGTGTTCTGGATGGGTTTTCTGAATGGAAAAGAACTGAAATCAATTTTGGAAGCTGTGGATGTTTCATTTGGATTAGTCAGTCACAGTTGGCTCGGGATAACTCTGCATCACCTTGGTGATCTGTCATTAGATCTTGACACACAGTAAATCATACAGGGACGTGTCTGATCTTGACACACAGTAAATCATACAGGGACGTGTCTGATCTTGACACACAGTAAATCATACAGGGACGTGTCTGATCTTGACACACAGTAAATCATACAGGGACGTGTCTGATCTTGACACACAGTAAATCATACAGGGACGTGTCTGATCTTGACACACAGTAAATCATACAGGGACGTGTCTGATCTTGACACACAGTAAATCATACAGGGACGTGTCTGATCTTGACACACAGTAAATCATACAGGCAGTAAATCATACAGGGACGTGTCTGATCTTGACACACAGTAAATCATACAGGGACGTGTCTGATGTTAATGTGATTGGCAATAATGGGAGGTACCATATTCACTTCTGTTTTTAACAAGATGTTCCTGTTTCAGATCTTCATGCAGTCGCCACCACTGGATGACATCCCTGCCAACGTCCAGGAAGTGGTACGGGATCTCATCACCCAGGGATTCACAGTCGACCCCAAACTGAGACCCTCTGCAGCCAAGCTCCTGAAGCATCCTGCTTTCAAGGTTCTAGGTAAGCAAATGGATAGACTAACACTTAGTCAGTAACAAATAAACCCATTTAGATTGAAAAGGAGCCCCATTGAGATGGGAGATTCAGAACCTGAGGAAATCTAGACTTGCGTTGTTTAGGGCTTTAGCATTGCAGGGAGGGCTCGGCAGGAGTGAAAATATTGTGGTTCAGGGACTGTGAGACAGTCTAGCGAGGGGATTACAGGGCACTATTGTGGTTAAAGCATGAGCATGTGAGGCTGAAGACATCAATTACCCATATTGGTTCACTGTACGTCTCTCCATTAACATTTCTGGAATATTGCTACATTCAGCATTAAACCCAACTTACTCACTCACTCTTGGTAAGCCATGAACAGATTTATCTTGCATTCCAAACTATTTGGGAGATATTTATCTTGGGATTCAAAACTGTACTTTTGGAATGCAAATTGGGATCAAGTTTTTCACAATTTTATAATTCTTTATTTTAAAGAAAAGTAATTTGCCTGCACTGAACCAAGACTGGCGACAACTATTACCTGTGTAACAAAAATGATTTCCTCGCATTGTAAACTGATTCAAAGGATTTTGACTGAAATACTGTTCAAACTGACAAAACCCCAACTTGTCTTTGGAAGTTGTCACCGCGCTTGCTCGAAGCAGCAACATGGCGAATTGTCAGGCTGACGATCTTTATCTGTCACTTTCTTTTGTCTCTTTCTTAACTTCTTAGAATATATCTATATTTTGATTAGTATGAAATTCTTTGGAATTTTTTTACTAATTTTGGTCCTAAAATACTAATTTTTGCATCAGGTTTTGACCAAGACACTAACTGGGCTAAATTAGTGTTGGCATCTCTGTGACAGCCATGCTCTCAGTGCAACAATACTGAAAAAATGTCGAACTGAACTGACTCCTGATTGTTTGTTGCAGAACAAGGAGCCCCAACCAGCTACTACTCCACCCTGAAGAGCACTGGGCAGCCTCTACCGGACAATCAGCTGGGCCCCACCGAAGCAAGTGGACCTCAGGAACTGGAAGAGATTCTGTCCCAGGTTGCTCCACATGGCGCCAGGCAACCATCACTGTCAGAGAGAAGACTGCCATCTGTACAATTCCGAGTCTCTGGTGAAGGAAGCAGTGGCTCAGATCTAGCTTCAAGTTTAGCTAAGCACAGCGAGGGGTCACTGCCCTCTTCCAGCTCTCAGCCTCAAGATGAAAATGATGGCCCAAGACCAGTTGCTCCCATGGCAGGAGCTGCCTCTGTGGTTCCTATTGCAGGAGTTGGTTCTACTGGCAGGCACTCTATCAGTACAGCTGAAGCTCCTGGTGCCCAAGAACATCATTCTGAAGAAGGCAATGAAGCATCATCAGAGGAACATCCACAGGAGCTGCGTAAACTGCCGACGTTCCTTCGGAGTTCCTTAGATGACATCCCCGATGGTGTGCCAGGAGACACATGGTCATTCTCCCAGTTATCCTTTGAAGATACAGACCAGCATATTCACAGCTTCCTGAGTGATGTTGTTCCGGTAGTTGAGTTTCTGCCCTCTTCACAAGCACTGCCTGAATACAGACCAGCTCAGAGGATACCATTAAGTTTGGATAACATGCCACACCTTTAGATTATTGTTGGACAAGCTGACATACAGTGGAATAATCCTGGGCCGAACAGAATGCTTTGTCAGCTCAACTAGAAATGAAATCAGAGAAGAATGAAGCATTGCCGAATGTGAAGATGAAGTAGCTCCATCTGCTGCCAGAGAGACAGATTGCTTATTACAGGGCAGTCATTGGGAGGAGATGGATCATCCAATCCAGGGCAGTCCTCCAGAGGGACAGGTCTCTTTATTCAGGAGCAGTCCTCTGGAGGGACAGAGCATCTGATCCAGGGCAGTCTTCTGGAGGGACAGAGCATCTGATCAGGGCAGTCTTCTGGGCGGGACACAGAGCATCTGATCCAGAAGCGGTCCTCCAGAGGGACAGGTCATCTTATTCAGGGCAGTCCTCAGAGGAGATGGAACAACCAGTCAGGGCAGTCATCAGAGGGATAGGTCATCTAATCAAGGACAGTCCACTAGAGAGTCATCACTTGAGGGTCTTTCAAGCTTCGCCAATGATAATGGCACAGCAAATCAGTGAAACTGGATTAGCAATGTATAATGAGGGACAAAACACCCCAGGAAGACTCACACCATTGCCTGTTCTTCAGTCAACCCCTAATACTTCCCCACTAGAGATGAGAGTCACACCAAGTCCTCAGGATGACGTCGGCCCGACAAGCTACTATCCTCCAACTGGCTTTTATGAAGAACACATTCACAGCCCGACTTGTTTGGTGGCAATCAGAAGAAGCAAGGGCATTTCATGATGCAGTTGGGAAACTTGAAACAAGCAGCAACCAACAAGGTTCATCTCTGGAAACCATGGATGATCGTTCAGATTGTGGAGTTGGAACTGAAATAGAAGAAATCATTGAGGGACTGAACTTTGATTTTTCTGGAAAAACAGTTAATGCTTCTCCTCAGTCAGAGCGAAAATCAAGGCAGCCATCCAAAAGTGTGACCAGTTTCTTTCGAGGTACACCTGATTATGCTGTAGAGACCTCCAAGACAAAGGATTGTCCTATTGAATCTGAAAGTATTGACATACCTGGAGCAGGGAATGGTAGTCAGCCTTGTGAGGATGTTGCACATGCAAGGAAGCAAGAAGGTGGTCGATCGCTGGAGAAAGAAGAACCCAGGACTCACTATTGGCGTCACATGTAATAAGAAGTTGGCTTATAAAAGAAATCAGTCGACACCAGCGGAGAGCAAACCGAGATCTCCCCCAAGAGTTAAGCACCCACAGAGCGACCCGATGGTGACCAACGCTGGGACTGGGAAGGGGAAAAAGGTGGAAGGAAGTTCGGGGTTGGGTGCAAGTCTGCCTTGCCAAGTCCAATTGGAGCCTTGTCTCAACTCAAGCCGCAGTAGTGATACTTCGGGAGTGTTCCTGCTGGACAAGGGGCGGCTGTCCTCCACCGAGTTTAGCCCCAAGTCTCTGTATGATCACCAGGAGCAGGAGTTCAGTAAGTGCATTGACACTTTGTGAGGTGAGTGAATGAGTGAGTTTAGTTTTATGCCACTTTTAGCAATATTCCAGCAATGTCTGGCGGGGAGACACAGAAATGAGCTTCACACATTGTACCCATGTGGGAATCAAACCTGGGTCTTTGGCGAGCAGCATATAACCACCAGACTACCCCACTGCCCAGTGAGTGTTGGGGCTGGCTAAAATTATCGATAATCGGACATATATAATTCGATGTTAAAAATTACTCATGATTATTAATAGGAAACTTGTGTTATCGATAATATCTTACGTTCGCTTTTGTGATATAAAAAAAAAATGGACTGTCACAATATACAAAGTTAGGTCTTTATTCATGGACTATATATTAATTCTTTCAAACTTTTTTAGCATTATTACTCATAGTTACTTCTCTGATATTTATCGATAATTGATCAATAATTAGTAGGATTATCGATCTCTATGATCTATCAATAGCGAGTGATTGGGGTAGCCTAGTGGTTAAAGTGTTAAACTTGTCGCGCCGAGACCGGGTTCGATTCCCCACATGGGTACAATTTGTGAAGCCATTTCTGGTGTCCCCATGCGTGATATTGCTGGAATATTGCTAAAAGCAGTAAAACCATCATGATCAGTCAGTCTATCGATAGCCTGCCCTATTGAGTATTGTTTAAAGCCAGATCAGCAATTTTGCAGCTATTCTTCAAACTTGTTCTCCTTATGTAAGTGAGCACGCGAGATATGCATGTCTTAGTCACATACATGTCTATTTCTTCTCAGTAAGATAGTTTCCTGTATTAATTATGACTTCATATAATTTGTCTGGAGTTAGCACTCATCTAAATATGGATATAACTGGATAATACAGTTGTGTAAAAATAACTTAAATCTAGTTTGGAGTTGCTTGCATACAAATATGCATCAAAGTTTTCAATTTTCGAATACTTTTTATCCCCCCGGCATGTAATGCGGGGGTATATTGTCTACGCCTCGTCCGTCCGTCCGTAATCATTTTGTTTCCGGAGCATAACTCAAAAACCGTTCAATATTTTTCAACAAAAATTGGCAGATATGTGAGGCACATCCCAAAGTGGTGCCTTTTGCTATTTGCAAATTTTGGGCATTTTAATTTTTCCTGGTTTCCATGGAAATGTTTCAGACTTAGACTCAAAAAGGAGGGACTGGTTTCGTTTCCGGAGCACAACTCAAAAACCGATTAATATTTTTCAGCAATAATTGGTAGTTATATCAAACAGAACCTAAAGTGGTGCCTTTTGCTATTTGAAGGTTTTTGTCATTTTTATTTTTTTTGTTTCCATGGAAACGATTTGGACTTAGTCTCAAAAGGAAGGGGTGGGTTTCATTTCCGGATCACAACTCGAAAACCGTTCAATATCTTTCTCCAAGACTTGACAGATATCTCAAACAGATCTTGAAGTATTGCCTTTTGCTATTTGCAGATTTTTGGCATTTTTATTTTTCATGATTTCCTTAGTCCAAAAAAATCAAGTTGGACTTTAAGTAACTGTCAGTTGATTTGTTCTTTCAAATTTATGGGGGCCGGGGGATATGTCATCTTCTCATGACTCTTGTTGAAAAATTATAATTGTTACGGGTACCTGAAAAAATGCAAGTAATGTGGATTATAGTATACTGCGTGAGTGTTCAGGGTACACTGCTGTAACTATGGTGACCATGGTGCATGTGTAACTATGGTAACCTCTTGTGCTGCAGGTGCCCTTGGCAAGGCATCCCACTCTGATCTGTCTGGTCAAGAACATCAGGACATGATGGCCATGGTGGACATTCCTGATCAGGTAACACACAGAAAGGGCACACATATTTAGGGGCCTGTCATAGGTCTGTGTTAAAGTATGGAGTTTACGAGCGTGTTAACGCTAAATATGCTTTTTGGAATGGGGTACTACGCTCGATGCTTAGAATTTTTCCTGGCTGACTCTTGACCCCATGTCAGTCTTTCTGAGCCACATTAAATTTAATGAGGCCACATTGAGGTTTGCAACTTGAGTTATTTTATTGATCAATTTTTGAGGGTGCAAACAAGGAATAAATTTTAGCTCACCTGAACCAAAGATTTATGAAACCAAACTTCCACCCTAACAAAGGTCAGCCTTAAACATTGGGGAATGCAAGTTGTGTGTATATCATCATTCCTTATCTTGTTTCTATCTTTTCTAGGACATTCCTTTCACCCTTGATCCCGAACACGAGTCATTTGAAAACCAACTGCGGTCTGTGCAAAAGAATCTCAAGACTGAAAGTGATGGTAAGTTGGATTAGAGTTTCATGTAAAAGCAAGAGATGAACTTTGTGTTCTCAGGTTCCGAACTAAGATTTGCTATCTTATTAATTACAGGAAAACCAAACAAAATTACAGGATTCAAGTGTCTTGTGATTTAATAATAATAATAATAATAATAGTGAATTTATATAGCGCATTAATCCATGCACAATGCATGCTCTAACGCGCACATATATGTGGGTATTAAGAGTCATTCTAGAAAGGCACTATTAAATAAGTAAGTCTTTAGCTCGGATTGGAAGGAGGCAAGAGATGAAGACTGTCTGAGATTGACTGGGAGATCGTTCCATTCCTTTGGTGCACTGAAAGCAAAGGAACGTTGTCCATAGTTCACAGATTTGACAGATGGAACTTGCAACAGGAGCTTGTTTTCTGACCGCGGTGATCGAGCTGGTTTGTACTCTGTGATCAAATCACTGAATATTGTGGAGCATCTTCAGACAGGCATCGATACACATGACACAAGATCTTATAGCTGATTCTCTGTCGGATGGGCAGCCAGTGTAAGTCATGTAAGATGGGGGTGATATGGTGCGTACTTCCTGCAGCTGGAGACTATCCGAGCAGCTGTATTCTGGATGTGCTGTAGTTTGTTGGTAACAGACTTGGGTGCACCGGCAAGGAGGCTGTTACAGTAATCAATCCTAGATATTACCAGGGTGAGAATCAGGATGATAAGTGATTCTTTAGTGTCAGGTACTTTCTGATGTTGCTGATATTCCTCAGTTGGAAAAGAGCAAGCTTCGGGAGATGTGGCTGACATGTTGCTTCATGGACAGTTCTGAGTCCAAAACAACACCCAAGTTCTTCACAGAGCGAGTGACATCAATACTTGAGCTTCCGATCTGAACTACGGTGAGACCTGACTGGGTACATCTTGCAGATGGGCCTATTAGCATGCACTCCGTCTTGTGTAGTCATTAAGCTTGAGTTTATTGATGTTCATCCATTCTTTTATCTGTGTACAGCAGTTGGTAACATCGGCAGAGGCTGCTTCTGCTATGGATGCTATTGGTCGAAATATTTTAATGAGCTGCGTATCATCAAGCGTAGAGGTGTCTTGGCAGCTTGTGCTGGTCGATGACCTGACCCAATTCCTTGGTATAAAAGAGTGAATAATATCGGGCCCAATACTGAACCTTGAGGCACACGCAGTTTAGATGTACTGAATCTGAGAACTGTCCATCAATGTACACACACTGTGATCTCTGAGACAGATAGGAGCTAAACCAATTCAGTGCAGATCCTTGGACACCAAAATCGTCCTGAAGTCGCTGCAGCAGTCTTTGGTGGTCGATGGTGTCGAAAGCCGCGCTCAAGTCCAAGAGAACGAGCAGAGCAACATTCCCCGAGTCGATGGCACATCTCAGGTCATTGACGACTTTCAGGAGAGCTGTCTCGGTGCTATGTCGAGGGCGATACGCTGATTGAAGTGGATCATACAAGTTGTGCAGGGTCAAGTGCTGTGACAGACGTTTTGTAGATAAACTTGTTACTGGACCTCTCCTGTTGAAATCAGTTCTGAGCGAATGGGTTTACTTTTAAGCCGCTTTTAGCAATATTGCAGCAATATTACGCCAAGGGACACCAGAGATGGGCATCACACACTGTACCCATGTGGGGAATCGAACCCAGGTCTTTAGTGCAACGAGCGAACACTTTAACCACCAGGCTACCCCACTGCCCTGAAACTGTAAAGAAAAAGTTCAGTAAACTGGACACGCTGGCAACAAACTGACAGATATGACAAATGATGGATGTAACACAGTGTCTTTTTGGTACCGATTCCTTGCTGTAAGTTTAAATGTAATTAACTAGTGTTGGGAATCGGAAACCAAATCCACTATCGATTATCGGAGGATTGTGGTGAACGATTATCGATTATAATTGAAATATATACATTTTTAGTGTAATCACCAATTTTAAGGTTTTGTCACATTTTTTCCTAAGTAATGTTTATTTTTCCTTATCCTGACTCATGCTAATTATGCTTGTCTCCTTCCTCTTGCGCATGATAGTGGAATACTTGAAAACCCTGGAAGTTCCCTTTTAAAAAAGTGGACGTAAAATCACTCACCCAAGAGTAGCTTCCCTTTCCTCCCTTTGGCGGCCAAATGGTCACATGATCGGCCATATTTGTCACTCTCTCCTTCTTCGCCCTTGAGGACGGTTGTGAGAGCACCTTGGTCCCTATACGGCACATATCCTTTTATATTTTTGGACCTAACATCAAAATTATTGCTGTATACGGTTTTTAGGATTATATTCTACATTATGTTTGGAAATTTGATTTAAATTGTCCGTTGTTACACATGTGTTTTCTTCATGTTTACATTTCATGAAAACTTGTATTCGGTGTAAGTACCGAGTGTCTGCGGCTGACCCTCATTTATTATGTCCTAATTGCACTGTTTCATGTTCTTTCAGCTCTTGCTACACGTGACCTGTGAAGATCCGGGGTAGAATAGGTCTTCAGCAACCCATGTGCTTGCCATAAAAAGGCGACTATCTTGTCGTAAGAGGCGACTAACGGGATCGGGTGGTCAGTTTCGCTGACTTGGTTGACACATGTCATCGGTTCCCAATTGTGCAGATCGATGCTCATGCTGTTGATCACTGGATTGTCTGGTCCAGACTCGATTATTTACAGACCGCCGCCATATAGCTGGAATATTGCTGAGTGTGGCGTAAAACTCAACTCACTCACTCACTCACTTGCTATACGTTTTGTGTAAATTTAACCTTTGTTGAATTTACTAATTACCTTTTTTCCATCCATAGACGTGCTAAGGACTGGGTACGTAGGTATTCACAAGTCATGTCTAAATGGAGTGATTGCGCTGATAACCGTGTGTTAACCACTGCTGCAGATATTCATAATTCTAGTGAATTGCTGAACGTTTCTCAGGAGCAGGTCGATGTACCAGGGGTGAATGCCGAAGGCAATAAGAGATCGTCTACTGAGCTGACCTCTTCGCAGATGAAGAAGACCAAATCTTCATCTTCGCAGAAGAAGAAGGCTACTACCATGAAGACTTCAGCATGGTCTAAGATCAGCTCTTCACAGAAGGCGAGGTCTTTCTCAGCCTAGATTGTTCCTCCTGAAGCAGATGTTTTGATGATCTACCCATCCTCATATCTGAAGTCACCATCGTCAGTAAGAAGAGCGAAGCCTGCTTCTACAGCTACATCGGCATTGGTGTCAGCAGACATTGACAGAAGACCTATCCAGCGGACGCCGGGTGCCAGAGATAGCATCAGCGTCAGCGGCTTCCGCGAGGGCAGCGAGCCTTAGATGGCGTCTCTTCGGTATCAGATGCATCATCCTGCAGCAGTCTCTTCAGACAATGCAGAACTTCAACGGGACTGTTCATGCAGCAGTTTACAGACCAGATGATGTGCGATGATGGAATGTGGTAAACCGGCTCAGGAGAAGGCTGCTATGAAGACGCTACTACGTCTACTAGCCTGGCGTGAAGGCTCTACAGTCTCCCACCACATCTGGATGAAGGGGAAGCCTGCGTGAAGGCTCCGCGGACAACGACGATCTTCCCCATCTGAAGTAGGCGCCCACCCAGAGAGTGCTGCTAAGAAGTCTCAGCGGGGAAGGAATCAAAGCGTTCTGCCAACCCTACAGGCGTCGCCAGATATAAGTTGTCATCTCCATCCGGACTCTGGCGCCCATCAAGAGCCTGGCGGCGGAGGCATGCCTACAGAGGGAAGCTACGTTCAGGGAATCCACCTTTTCAGGAAGGATTCAAGATCGCATCGGGATGTACATACGCCTGCTCTTCATACAGATCATCCCATAGAGAGGGAGATTACATCTATCAGCCAACCGGTGAAGGCTTAGAAAGATATCTCAAGACTCCAGGAGGAATACGCGGTCATACCAGGACCCGTTCACCTGCGCAGCTATACATACAGATCTACATACAGAGACTCCGTCATTATGGATCTTCAGATAGGAAATGTCTAACTTCACTGTCTGAAGTTAGAGTCTGGAGAACTCTACTAGCGTCCAGCTGAACATAGCAGACCCTCCGATGACGAGTTCGACCTACAGCCGAGAGGAATAATGGCTATATAAGCTCTCTCGGATGAAGGCTGCACAAATGGTTTGCGTTCGCGATGATCTTTGCGTCAGCAGTTGAAAGCCTGGAGGATTCAACGAAGCGCCAGCTTAAGCGTTAGCAGTCCACGATGGAGCCTCCGCCTTCAGCGTCTCAGCAGGAAGAATTCTAACACAGAAGTAGATCCAGTCGTTCTCCAGGATTCTACAGACTGTGCAGATACGGATCTTCCACCTTTGACCTTCACCAACCTGCCGCAGGTACTCATGGGGAGGATTATAATCAGAGTTAGCATGTCCCGCCATTCAACAATAGCAGATTTCCCCTTCATCATACGGAGCCCTTCATGATACAGCAGGGTTTGAGGTTACAAGATCATCAGTGAATCCCGTAATAGATATTCAAGATAAGAAGATAACACAACTGGACACTACACCTAGATGTTGGCTATGTTGGATCAACACGTGGCTGGAGGAAGAGACGCACACCTGAAGTAACGATGTCAGATAACATCCGATGAAACACTGCAGATGAAATTTCATCACATAGGCTTACAAGATATCAAAGGGGCAGTTAACAGCATTGTCTCAGTTCCTCAGCGAGACATCAGTAATGGTCAACTTTACAGAACATCTGTATAAGATGATGACTGCAGTAAAGATTATAAATTTGAAAAATACAGTCACAACAGACAGGGAAAAGTCTGCTTACATCAATACTACGCGGCAAAGTTTTCGCGCTTCCACTCAGCCATCAAGACACGTGTTCACCCGTGTAACTCTGGCACAAGCCGAGTGTTGACGAAGAAATCAACGACTGCACATGATTCTACAGGATCATTTTCCTGCAACACCGGTGACGTCACAATCACGTGCCAGGAAGTCGTCTACAGTTTTAAACAACTCTTTTCAGCGTGGGAAAGGCTCCATTTACAGTCAAGCTAGCAGGGTGCAGCGTTTTTCGACTATCTTCACGGGTCATAGAGGACTTCCCCTGTCAGCAGATTTAATGTTGGTTATCTGGGGACTTGCAACGACAAGCGTGAGATGGTTTCTGCTCATGGCAGCCGATCGACTATAAATAGACTTCACATCGATAGCAGTCCCAGTACATCATAGATTTTTGCTGACCTAGAGACAACGTATTATGCATCATCGCTGCACAATGTTCGGATTCTGGTGACAACATCTTCATTACATATTACCGGAAGATTGATGAGACAAAAAAGCTTCAAGCCATGATTCCAAGAATCGATCATCTCTCCGTTTCCATGTCGGACATGGAAACGTTCTTAGATCCACGTACCTACAACGTAGGACATGATTGCAGTAGATGGCGTAATCTCCGAATCGGAGTTGGATCCAAAACATGATCTTCAATTGCTGGGAATATGGCTCATCACACCACAGAATGACACAGTCGTCCCAGAGGATCGTTGGGTCAAGATACAACATATGATATCTCAAGCAATGCTCTCTCCGTTGACACTACGTACTTGGCAAAGCATGCTTGGTCTACTCACCTCAGCTCAAGACATGACTCGCAGAGGGAGACTACAGCTGTGCCCACTACAAATATTTGTGAATGCCCATCTCGACAGTCTGGATCCACTGACAGCCTGAAAGCATACCTCCTATGTAGGACTCGTAAGTCGAATGTTTGCGGAGGAACCTTTTTGTCAGAGCCGGTTTGGAACACTCATCTCTACGTAGATGCATCGCTACAGGGATGGGGTGCCCACCTCGACAACGAAGTGGCAGCAGGGAAGTGGTCGAGTCAGGATCAGAGTCTGCACATCAACCTGTTGGAGATGAAAGCAGTGATCAACGCTTTACAGCACTGGTCCAGCGTACTAAAGAACGCAAGGCTCATGGTCCACATGGACAACTCCATAGTGGCATTCTACATCAACAAGGATCAACAAGATCAACAAGTCTGCTACAACTCAGCTTTCTCCTGTTCAGCATAGTCGACGACCTGAACATCTACATGGAGGCATGCCACATTCCGGGAGCAAAGAATGTCATAGCAGACGCCCTATCTCGTCCACTACAACCATCTCCGGCCAGTGGATGTTACACCTAGAAGTGTTCCGGTTCGTCATACAGACAATAGGATCTCCACTGGTAGACCTGTTGCAACAAAGTTTAACAAGCAATTACCAACATTCGTCTCTCCGATTCCAGATCCTCAGGCATGGGCCACAGACGCTTTAAGCATCTCATGTGAAGGACTAAACGCTTATGCGTTTCCTCCTCCAGCACTACTACCACAAGTAATACAGAAAATCAAGCAGACGACAACGCTGCAACTGATTCTGGTTGTGCCCTATTGGCCAGCGAGGGTATGGTTTCCCGTCCTCATACAAGAACTCGGAAGTCCAACCCTGAAACTACCAGAGTGGTTTGACCTGCTCGTCCATGCACACACCAAGCAAGCTCACGGGAATCTGGCATTGTTCCAGCTACACGCGTGGAACGTATCAAAGCTTGCCTGAAGACTAGAGGGTACTCTGCTAAAGCAGCGAAAGCAGTAACACCAGCTCTACGCAGATCAACTCGCAACTTGTACGACGACAAGTGGCAGATTTGAACAGTATGGAACGAGGAAAGGCTATAACAGTAAAAGCAACCGATCCTCAAGTGGCTGAATACCTGTGTCATCTGCGACAGACGAGACACTTAAAAGGTTCAACTCTCTCAACGTACTGGGCTGCTCTCAGTTGAATCATCACATCGTGACATTGTACATCTAGGACTGAGATGGGATTTCATTGCCCGGCCAGCCTGACGGACAAGTTTCACATCCCAGCACTCTCTACAGTCCTTGGGCCACAGGACACACAGGATCTATCCTTATGCCCTGTCAGGGCACTAAAAGTCTACCTACGAAGGACAAAATAAGGAGACAAAAATTCAAACGCCTATTCATCCCCTTATCCACTGAGACGCCCACGGAAGTCTCGCGGACAACGATATCGATCTGGATGAGAGCCGTTATACTAAGGGCCAATAAAGCAGCAGGACTTGAGCCTCCATGAGCCTCCAATCCACATGAAGTCAGAGCCCTGACGTCTACACTTGCTCTGCATGGAAACTGCTCGATTATAACTATAATGGAGGGCTGCTTTAGAGATCGAACACAGTGTTTACCAACCACTACCTCAGAGACATTGCCACCGAAGACATCCCAGGCATTCACCAGTTTGGGCCGCTTGTTGTAACACAACAACTAACGGTTCCACAAAGGCGCTGAGAAAATCTCACTCTTTTTATCCATGACTTGTGAAAACCAACGCTCTGGAGAGCAAATGGTTAAAGTCCATGCACACATCTAGGACAGACTAGCATGAGTCATAGACCCTGTACTTGTATAGGACATACTCGTACATGAAGAAGGGTTGCATCTCCATTTGATGCGCGCATCAAGAGATGGAGTTGCAATAGATAACTAATGGAATATTAGTATATTTAAAATCCACACGAAAATGTCAGGAGAAGTTTCAGAAGAAATCTGACAAGTTGTGGTCCCCCAAGACTCATCAGAGAGAAGTTGAAAGAATCTTCAACAGTGCCGTCATAAGTTCCCAAGGGGGGTAATACAGGACGTAAATCTACAACCAGTGAATCCAGAACGTGGCTTGACCCACCACCGTTTCCAACGGATTCTGCAAGCATAATTAGCATGAGTCAGGATAAGGAAAAATATGTAATTTTCTGACTGAAATTGATATTTTATACTTATCCTGACTCATGAGGTTAGCCCTCCCAACCTCCCCTCTTATGGCACTCTGGATTTCCCTGTAAATACGGGTGTCGGGCTTACATACGGAGAGAGTGACAAATATGGCCGATCATGTGACCATTTGGCCATAAAGGAAGGAAAGGGCGCTACTCTTGGGTGAGTGATTTTACGTCCACTATTTTAAAGGAACTTCCAGGGATTTCAAGTATTCCACTATCATTACGCAAGAGGAAGGAGACAAACATAATTAGCATGAGTCAGGATAAGTATAAAATATCAATTTTAGTCAGAAAATTACATTTTTTATAACTAATGCATACAATGAAATGCACGCATGCAAGAAAGACACTGGAATTGTGATTAAACAATAAAAGTGGTTAACATTTTACAATGTGCATAGCTTTACGCTGTTGAGTGCATGTTTGTTCGTGAATATTCGTCAAATTTGATGGTTAGTTTACTTCATTCAAGGGCGCTATACAAAAGCAACAAAATTCTGATTAATCGAAAATATGTATTTTTACAATCGATTATCTTTTTTAATCCTTCTTTTGACCGATTTTCGATTATTTTCGATTATTTCGATCATCGAAACATCACTATAATTAACAAAACTAAACTCAACATTGACAAATTTTATGGATAACAACTTCTCTATTACGAGAGTGCGATGTTTCGATACAGATTCTTGTACCGTTGTCAAGCAGGAAGTTTGACATTCCTTCTTGACAACGGTGCAAGAATCTGTATCAAAATGTCTCACTCTCGTAATAAAGAAGTTGTTATCCATAAAATTTGTCAGTTTTGTACTTCCCAGCTTCTAAAATGCCACTCAAAGTAGTTAAAACTAAACTCACTCACTCACTCTTTACAGTTTCCGAGTTTGGCGCCAAGCTTTATCTGATCAGAGAAAATGGTGAGACTGTGAAGAAGATGCTGGTGCCATTTCACTACGAGGACTGGGGAAAACTGGTGGACACAATTCGGCAAGCGGTACGTCTGTTAGGTTGCCTCGCAGTACACATTAACTTTCGAAACTGACTGACTGAGTTTGGTTTTACGCCGCTTTTAGCAATATTCCAGCAACATCACGGCGGGGAACACCAGAAATGGGCTTCACACATTGTACCCATGTGGAGATTCGAACCCGGGTCTTCGGCGTGACGAGCCAACGCTTTAACCATTAGGCTACCCCACCGCCCCCTTTCGAAACTGAGATGAAGACTGAGTATGAAGTCTTTTGGTAAAAACATTTGCTTCCACATCAAGGGTTTTCGCGCACACGCCGCGCACGCACGCACGCACGCACGCACGCACACAAACAAACGAGCCCACTCATGATCGAATGAATGAGCCCACGAACGAACAAGTTCAGGAACATCATTGCTGTATTTTTCTTCCCTAAATACAGGCATCCCTTGCCATAACATTGGTCTTGGGGTACATGTTTTCATAACATGGATAAAGGTGAAGTTGTATTGTCGGAGGTGAACAAACAAACTTTTGTAAATATAAATAGGAAACTTGCAATCAAACATCACTAGATATGATGATTCAATTGTCGTTCCTGTTGTGCTACCTGTTATTCAACTAAGCAGGAAATAGCAATCAGCTGTTTACTACTCCAACATACCAGTGATTCAGGTACAAAATGATCAGAAAATATAACTTCAAAGACTTTCTATTCCATTATCAGAGGGTTAGAATCCCCACATGGGTACAATGAGTGAAGCCCATTTCTGGTGTCCCCCGCCGTGATATTGCTGGAATATTGCTAAAAGCGGCGTAAAAATCAAACTCAGTCAGTCCATTATCAGAATAATTTATATTTTAAGCAGTTATTTATCCGAAGTATTATATAAGGGTATTGTTTTGGTATAATGCATTTTTACATACATATTTAATACACACAGATTAACCTGCGGTTTAACCGAAACCACGGTATCGTGAAGAGCGTTATTACGAGGGACGACTGTACTTCATTTCAAAATGATTAAATGCTTTGATTTTTTACGTGTCTGCAGGTGAAGGATGATCTGGGTTACGATCACTACACCCTGAAGGACAGCGACGGAAGCCCAGTGAACTACAACAGCACACCCTATAAACAAGACCGGAAGGTCATGGTGTGTTGCCTTGAGGCAGGGGAGACAACTGAGGGATGCTGGTGTGATCAACACGAATATCAACTTATACATTTTGCCTGATTACATCTGTCCATGAAAAGGCCACGACGCTCCACGGTCAGGCGCTCATGTCCTGTAAAGACCTGAACGTTGTAGTAACTGACCTGTTTGAAACTGGATAATGTTGCTTTGAAATAGTTTTTTTTTTTATTCAATGATAAACGTAAAAGTTTAGGTGTTGTTTTCAAAAATTGTGTTATACCTTGAACTGAGATTTATTTTGAAGTCTGGTTGATCAAATAGTGGGATAGGGTGAGTTGGGGTGGTGTGAGTATGTTTTGTTAACACGAATGAGATCATGAAATAATGTTCACACGAATGAAGTTACGAGGTACATAAACCCCCTCATGGCTCTGACACATGACCAATGATGTCCCATCATTTTACGTGGCCAACTTGGGTTGTTCCCAATGAATCCATGCTGTATGACTTGACAATCTGTCTCTGTGAGTGTGTGTGTCTATCTGTCACTGGCTCTACAACAATCCCCTCTCTGGTTAAACTATCAGATGGAAGCAAGAGTGACCCTGTTGTCTTAGCAACCATAATTATCTGTGTAGAGTTGCTTCCCTTTGAGTTTGATGTTACTGAGATGCTGTTTAAAGCAGTTTTAAACCAAATATTGATACATCAGTACTCATGAATATTTACCATTTTCTGTGTTATACCAAATATATATACATCAGTACTTGAGAATTTTTACTAATTTCTGTTGAAACCAAATATATATGCATCAGTACTCAAGAATATTTACTAATTTCTGTTGAAACGAAATATTTTATCAGTACTCAAGAATATTTACCATTTTCTGCTGAATCAGATTCTTTTGCAAAACAGTGGTGAAAATTAAATGAATGGATCACCTTAAAATGGCGGTGACACCAGGTGTTCACAGAAAGGGTAAGGATGCCCTGCTCCTCTCACAAACAAAAGAATTCTTAAATCCAGGAAGTGTATCCAGTGTCCGGAATTTCTACTTAACCGATTCCAGTTATCATGATTCAGATGCTGAAATGTAATGATGGACGCGGCTGGATTTGCTTCCCTTTTTATCTGAGCATATGGTTGCCTACTTAACACAAGTTGACAGTGTTCTTGCATAGTAGGCCCTTCTAGCCACAGGCTGTGATGTTTTTGAGATATTTTTCTCCAGAAGGGCTCACTTTATATATGCAAGATCAGTTTGTAATTTGTATAGTTAGAGACCTTCCAACTTGAAAGTGGTAACATGGGGATTACACATTCTCAGTAAAGTAGATTCTAGTAAATTTCACATTAAGTCCTATCTGGGATTCGAACCCACACTCTCAGAATTTGTCACCTAATGGCCAGTGCACAAAGTCACTTACCAAGCAGCCACCATGACTGCCACAAGAAAGAATCAGTACTGAGAAAGTGTAATCCCATATTCTGAAGGCATTGTGAATTCACAGCTATTGTTCACGAGAGTGATGCCAGTATACTTAGAGTACCAGATGACAGATGTCCATATGTTAGTCTGCTGAAGTTACATTTCAACCCTGTTAGCTCCAATAAGGTGTAATCGTTGTTTACCTCAGCAATATTCCAGCTATATGGCGCCAGTCTGTAAATAATCAAGTCAGGACCAGACAATCCAGTGATCGACAGCATGAGCATCGATCAGTTGGGATATGATGACATGTGTCAACCAAGTCAGTGAAACTGACCACCCGATTCCGTTAGTCGCCTATTAAATCCAGATTTTCTATTTTAGAACCTTGCGTTATGAATGTTTAAAATTTAAGAATAACCCATATTCCCAATGAATTTTACCGATTTATTTTCTATATGCAGTTATATTTCCAAAATTAAAAAGAACATGCTGATTAAGGAGTTTTCCCTAGCTGTATCAATCCACTCTTGACTTATATTGTGACTGACACAGGTTATATAAACTTAATACTTTGAGAAAAAAACTTCTTTTACACATTTATAAATTTTTAAACTGAGTTATTAAATCAGATTGTACAGTATGAATAAACCGGTATACCAGCATGTTTTTAATTTCCTGTCTGCCAACGCAGTATTTATAGAGGTATGGCAACTGTAAGGAATTTCTTGTACATATCTGTTCTTGTGAAGTTCTCCTCTTAGATGATACTGTCGTATCATTGGTGATGTTTAATGAGTAGTTTTTTTGCTTGAAAAAAGATCTCATTAAGATTTTTATTAATGGCGAAATATTTAAAGTTATCTAATAACTTCTGATTTGTATCTGTTGTTGTTTATAACATTATGTGACACTACAAATTTGCATAATCTACTGCTAGTGCTTTCATGAGTGGTAATTTTTGGTAATTCGATTAAATCTATACAAAATTGCTTGGATAAGCGTGAACTAAAGTTCATCATAAATTATTTATGTATAACAACCATGATTTACTATTAGTTAACCTGTAATTACTAAAACTGGATACCACTGCCAGTCGTGTTCATCACATGGTACATTGTCTATCTTTTTGACTGTTCTATTGATATCTTTAAAAGTGTTCTAGTGATATCTCTGAGGCAGTGGTTTATTAACATCTTTGTGATTCTGTTCTGTTTGTACCTGTGAGACAGGTTTATTAATAACTTTGTAAAGCTGTTCTTTAACTATCTCTGAGACATCTTTATTTATATCTTTGAAACACTGTTCTATACATATCTTTGAGACACTGTTCTATACTACCCATCAAAAGTTTAGACTCACTTAAAACACTCACTATATATTATGTATATATCTATGGTTACATCGAAGATGAATTTCTCCCCTAACTTGGGGGAACCAACTGCAAACCTTATGCAGATGAATTGCATGAGGATCATGCATCAAATTGCTGAAAAGGATGTGCAAATATCGTGCATGTGAACAGCTGCGTTTTGGAGTAAAGTTTTGTTAAGAATTCACCAATTTTCACTGAGTTTCTTCATTTATTGAAGTCATGACAGTAATCTTTTCAATGTTACGAATTTGTTTCACAATACATCAGTTCATGTGTAAACAGTACCTCTAAACAGTATGGAATATTTTACAAAATCTAGTTTAGAACAGTTGACTGAAGTAAGTGGCTACATTTAAACTAGTGAGTCTAAACCTTTGATGGGTAGTATATATCTTTGAGACTGTTCTTTTTATGTCTTTGAGACAGTGTTCTATAAAATATCTTTGAGACTCTGTGTTTTTTATGTCTTTGAGGCTGAGGGGTATCTTTGTAGCAGTGTTTTGTCAAGGCCTCTGCATGTATACAAACTCCCATTGAGGAAATTATGAAGGCATAACATCAAAATTCAGTCCAGATGGCCCTTTTTGACATTTTACAGAGCTGAAGTGTTACTACTTACTGCCAATGAGGACCCTAATTGAACTGCATCCAGCCCATCAGGACCCCCTTTTGATTATGCACAATCAGTCTGAGTTGTAATATCTTGTTGGATACAGTCTGTGGAGGTCAATCTGTTGGTCAGAACAAGTGTCTCTGTGTCTGTATTTACCTTGAAAAATAAAATTTGTTTCTAACATTTCCAGGCTTTGTTCTATTTAGTTTTAACTTTGTTCTGTTTTCTTTTGACTGCACCATGGTGTAGTGGGTAGAGTGTCTGCTGGGAGAGACAAAGGTTTGTTCCTGGGCCACAACATACCAGAGGAAATTAAAAGATGGCACTTGTTGTTCCCTTGCCTGGTGCTGGGTATTAAAGGAATCAAAGAAGGACTGTCAACTTGGAATCAGTATAATATGTCTGAGAGGAGCATGCATATTAAGATGTGGCATGGTTGAGTTGAGTTTTACTCTGCACTCAGCAATATTCCAGCTATATGGCGGTGGTCTGTAAATAATCGAGCTGGACCAGACAGTCCAGTGATCAACAGAATGAGCATCAGTTTGTGCAATTGGGAACCGATGACTTGTGTCAACCAAGTCAGAGAGCCTGACCATCCGATCCCGTTAGTCGCCTCTTACGACAAGTATGGGTTACTGAAGATGTGACTTGGTATACCAGTGGGTAGGCATATTTAAATACTAACTAACTAGTACAACAAGCCACACACGTACATACATGTCACCATATAAATGCAGTAATTTTGGAGGCAATTTAAACTCTTGACGGTTCCAGTTGCTCTGTGGAGTTTTAGAATTTGGGCTTTATGTGACTGCATTGAACGTTTTCGGACAACAATGATTATTTATACCTGAAGGAACAACTTTCTAGATCCGTGGGTCTGTAGTTCCCTTTCTATCTCCATAAGAGTATTGTAAAAATTGTTATTCACACAATTAGACGATTCAGCATTGCTGTCATTTTCAAGGTTCCTGATAAACAAAGCCTCATTTTTTTTCAGATGGCATCTAGTTTTCTATCATGACACCAAAACATTGTCATGGCTTGCTTGATCATTCGCTGCATATTTTTTAAAAGAAACACAGGACATCCAGTTATGTTTAACGTAAAAACCAGTAATCCCCATCCTGTGTCTGTCATGGACTAGACTGTTCTTCCCAGTAATCGTCATATTCTTCCAGGCTTAAACTTTGTTGTGATACTTGAAGGCCACAGGACAATGATACATGATGCAAAGAAATGAGCGAGTGATTCGTTAACGTCGAATGACCATAGTTATCAGCACCACAAAATATTTTGCCACGTTTGCCTCTCTGACCAGACTACAGTTTTTCGTGCTTTTTGTCAGTGAATGATGTTTAGTGAGTAAATTAATCATTGAGGGTCAGTTTATCGAGATAGTAAGTTGAATTGTGGTTTAGATACATTTCTTTGCCTTGGTTAATGGTAAGATATTGACACTATGAAAAATGGGTGCAGGCTAAAACGGAACCACAGCAAAACGGCACCTGGCGAAAACGGCACCATTTGGACATAACGGAACCTCGACTTGGCGAAAACGGCTACAAATCTTATAGCGAAAACGGCACCAACTAAAATCTTATGGGGAAAACTAGTTTGTTATAAGATAATCGGATTGCAGATAATAAATACATCTACTATTATGTCGGAACTATCAAAATTTAAGAACAAGGATGTATTTTTATATTCAAGGATACGATGTGAAAACTACTTTATACGGTAACGGCGCATTGAATAACTCAACTATTAGAGATATTCCGAACTCAGTACAACAGTTCATTTCTAAAAGTAACCGCTTACAGTAATTATCAAATCTACGTATATATTCAATGTAAGGCAAAAAAAAATTATGGTAACTAACTTATCACAATATTTTTCTACACTTTACAGTAACAAAAGTAGGGAAACTATATTTTTATATTTACTTTACACCACCCAATTTTACTCAATGTTCATGTGTCACAACTCCAGTGGCTGATGTCACAGATGTGGCATTTGAATTTTTTTGTCTTTTTCATAAGCAATAAATATACAATTTCAAAACTCCATGTTATATTGTAAAACTAGATATTTTAATATATATGTACATGAAATAAATATTATCTTTGGATTTTTTCTTTTCAAAATGATGTTACAAATTTCGTAACGACAGTGACACAATTTCAGGAAATGTCTAATAAAAATGGTAAAATATGAAAAATGAAACATCATTAAGCTTGCATAATATATGTTATGTATATTCAGAAAAATTATTATGTTATGTAAACCCCAAAAAGAAAAAAAATCCCCATAAAACCAAAACACTAACAAACAATGGGTTGTTGTTATTGAATCCAGGACAAAATCCACCTGGACAAAATCCACCCGGACAAAATCCACCCCAAAATTGCAACCTAGGACAAAATCCACCCGGACAAAATCCACCCCTAATAAATTCCACCCTAAGAAAAAAATAATAATGACATGTTTAGTCACAGAAATGAATTTTATTCATATCAGTCATTCATAATCGATAACAAAAAAAACCAAAATACATATGTAAGCTCATTTTTGCATATATAAATATGACAATTGCACATTTTCACATTTCACATTTATTAATCATTCATGCATCAATACATAGGCATGTAAGTTTTTCTACTTTGGTGGATAATGGAAGTGAACCAGCTGTTTTAAAAGTCATTATTGTAAACATCACGACCATATTAGTCGACCAGTGTGCTTTTCATTAAAGGATGGACAATCTTTAAGACGATTTTGGACAGATTGTCTGCAAGCCAGGATTGATATCATTTTCCATGTTCAGCGGCCATGTCAGTCATAACATGACAGGACAACACGATCTCAGCTGTGACGTTTCATATACTACATGCTGTCTGTTAAGGTGAGAAGCAACCACTATACTGGGTAAATAAACTATATCCATATTGTGAACGAACTACTAAAATATATGGATAGCTCTACACCTAAACGACAACGAGACGAAGTGTCAACATCGCCCGAACAGATTGACGTCGACTATAAACGCCAGTGTCAAGCGAACTCTGTATCGGATATATCAGACCCATCTTTTAATATGAGTGAATCCGAGACATCGAACACGTCTATGAATATGGATAATTTTGCAGAAAAACTTGTTCAGGCCTTTCAAAATGACAATGTATTGAAAGTGATAGGCTCAGTAGTAGCCGAGGCGCTGCGCCCTATGATTCGAGAAGAAATCGAACAATTGACAGCCAAAAATCTGGAACTGGAGGGAAAGATAGATGACCTAAACTGTAAACTTAAAGAGAGAGATACTGTTATTGAGACATTAACTGAGAGGTTAGACCGAAGCGAACAGTACTCTCGCAGAAATAATCTACGGTTTAGTGGTATCCCTGAGGCAGAGGGGGGAAAATACCGATAGGATTATAGTTTCACTGGCAAAATCAATTGGGGTTGACATGAGAGAATGTGACATTGACATCAGTCATAGGGTGCCCAGACGTCCCACCATCCCACAAGAAAGTCCACGCCCAGTGCTTGTGAGGTTCATAAGCAAGGCCACTAAGCGTCTGCTATTACAATCCCGGTCAAAACTGAAGAACGTAAGAGCACCGGGAAAACCAAGAGTCTTCATAAATGAAGATTTAACTAAATCACGGGCCACCATAGCTCGTGATGCACGTCAAATGGTTAATGACCGCAAGTTTGAATCTTCCTGGGTCACAGGAGGGGTCATCTTGATAAAGCTCAAAGATGGCAGGGTGAGAAATAAAGTTATATCCGCGGTAAGAAATGCAAAGAAGATGTACCTGAATAAAATTGATGAACAAATAAATAATGAACATGGTACAAAAACATGGTGGCGTTTAGTTAAGAATTATATAAAAAGTAAACACACCACTAATATTAATACTTTTCCTTCGATAATCCAAAACGATAAACTATATGATGATAGTGCTGATATAGCAAACATTATGAATGATTTCTTTGCAGATCAGGCAAGAGTAGCTGCTCCTAATAGGGATATTCCTGAAATTCGTTTAGAGGTAGATAACCCATTATGTGACTTAACACTCAGTCCGCAAGAAATCCATGATATTCTCTCCTCTGTTGATATCACTAAAGCAACAGGCCCAGATGGTATAGGCAATAAATTTCTGAAAATGAATGCTAGACAATTAGCAGTTCCCTTATCTGAAGTTTTAATCTATCATTAAAGAATACAGTGTTTCCTGATATCTGGAAGGAGGCATCAGTTGTTCCTATACATAAAAAAGGCAGTACAAATGAATGCTCTAACTATCGACCTGTCGCACTAACAAGTTGTGTAGCAAAGATTTTCGAAAAATGCATTTTTAAACATGTATTTAATTATTTTAGGGATAATGAAATGCTTACAAACTTACAATCCGGTTTCATGCCAGGCGATTCAACGGTTAATCAACTAACGTACCTGTATGACTTTATAGCGGGTGCATTAGATAGCGGTAAGGAAATTAGGGCTGTATTTTGTGACGTAAGTAAGGCTTTTGACAAGGTCTGGCATAAAGGTATTATACATAAGCTAAGACGTTATGGTATCGGGGGTAACTTGTTGAAATGGTTTGAGAGTTATCTAGACAATAGAGTTCAGCGAGTTGTTATTAATGGTTACGCGTCTGATCAAAGATCAATCCTAGCCGGGGTTCCCCAAGGCTCTGTGTTAGGACCATTATTGTTTATAGTTTATATCAACGACATCGTTGAAGGAATAAACAGCAATATCCGTCTCTTCGCAGATGACACATCACTTTATGCTATAATAAATGATCCTGATGAAACTGCTCTGTCTCTTAATAATGATCTACGTAAAATTTCTGATTGGGCTGACAAATGGCAAGTTACATTTAATCCTAATAAAACAGATTCTATACAATTCTCTCGTAAAGCTCAGCCCAGCCCAAAACGAAACTTAACAATGAAGGATGGTAATATTAATGACGTTAATAGCCATAAACATTTGGGACTTACTTTACAGCACGATTGTTCCTGGACTGATCATGTTAACTGTATCGCTAAAAAGGTTGCACCCATGGTAAACTGTCTTAGAGGTTTTAAATATCGTCTCTCACGTAGAACTTTACAAACAATGTACAAACAATATATCTTACCTATTTTCGACTATTGTTG